GTAAGAAGTAGAAATAGCAGGTATTTGGGTTCAACATGTAAGAAGTAGAAAGTACAGGTATTAGTGTTCAACATGTAAGAAATAAAGTACAGGTATTTGGGTTCAACATGTAAGAAGTAGAAAGTACAGTTATGTTCAACATGTAGAATACAAAGTACAGGTATTTGGGTTCAACATGTAAGAAGTAGTAAAGTACAGGTATTTGGGTCAACATGTAAGAAGTAGAAAGTACAGGTATTTGGGTTCAAGTAAGAAGTAGAAAGTACAGGTATTGTTCAACATGTAAGAAGTAGAAAGTACAGGTATTTGTGTTCAAATGTAAGAAGTAGAAAGTACAGGTATTTGTGTTCAACATGTAAGAAGTAGAAAGTACAGGTATTTGTGTTCAACATGTAAGAAGTAGAAGTACAGGTATTTGGGTTCAACATGTAAGAAGTAGAAAGTACAGGTATTGTGTTCAACATGTAAGAAGTAGAAAGTACAGGTATTTGAGTTCAACATGTAAGAAGTAGAAAGTACAGGTATTTGGTTCAAACATGTAAGAGTAGAAAGTACAGGTATTTTGTTTTAACATGTAAGAAGTAGAAAGTACAGGTATTTGTGTTCAACATGTAAGAAGTAGAAAGTACAGGTATTTGTGTTCAACATGTAAGAAGTAGAAAGTACAGGTATTTGGGTTCAACATGTAAGAAGTAGAAAAGTACAGGTTTTAGTGTTCAACATGTAAGAAAGAAAAGTAAGGTATTTGGGGTTCAACATGTAAGAAGTAGAAAGTACAGGTATTGGGTTCAACATGTAAGAATAGAAATACAGGTATTGGGTTCACAATAAGAAGTAGAAAGTACAGGTATTTTTCAACATGTAAGAAGTAGAAAGTACAGGTTTTTGTGTTCACATGTGAAGTAGAAAGTACAGGTATTTGAGTTCAACATGTAAGAAGTAGAAAGTACAGGTATTTTGGGTTCAACATGTAAGAAGTAGAAAGTACAGTGTTTTTGTGTTCAACATGTGAGAAGTAGAAAGTACAGTATTTGAGTTCAACATATAAGAAGTAGAAGTACAGGTATTTGTGTTCAACATGTAAAAAGTAGAAAGTACAGGTATTTGTTTCAACATGTCGAAGTAGAAGTAGCAAAGGTATTTGTGTTCACACATGTAAGAAGTAGAAAGTACAGGTATTTGTGTTTCAACATGTGAGAAGTAGAAAGTACAGGTATTTGTGTTCAACATGTAAGAAGTAGAAAGTACAGGTTTGGGTTCAACATGTAAGAAGTAGAAAGTACAGGTATTTGAGTTCAACATGTAAGAAGTAGTAAAGTACAGGTATTTGGGTTCAACATGTAAGAAGTAGAAAGTACAGGTATTAGTGTTCAACATGTAAGAATACAAAGTACAGGTATTTGGGTTCAACATGTAAGAATTAGAAAGTACAGGTATTAGTGTTCAACATGTAAGAAATACAAGTAGAGGTATTGGGTTCAACATGTAAGAAGTAGAAAGTACAGGTATTTGAGTTTCAAAGTGTAAGAAGTAGAAAGTACAGGTATTTGTTCAAATGTAAGAAGTAGAAAGTACAGGTATTTGGGTTCAACATGTAAGAAGTAGAAAGTACAGGTATTTGAGGTTCAACATGTAAGAAGTAGAAAGTACAGGTATTGAGTTCAACATGTGAGAAGTAGAAAGTACAGGTATTGAGTTCAACATGTAGAGTTAATAAAAGTACAGGTATTTTGGGTTCAACATGTAAGAAGTAGAAAGTACAGGTATTGAGTTAAACATGTGAGAAGTAGAAAGTACAGGTATTGAGTTCAACATGTAAGAAGTAGAAAGTACAGGTATTTGAGTTCAACATGTAAGAGCAGAATACAGGTATTGAGTTCAACATGTAAGAAGTAGAAAGTTCAGGTATTTGAGTTCAACATGTAAGAAGTAGAAGTACAGGTATTTGTGTTCAACATGTAAAAAGTAGAAAGTTCAGGTATTTGAGTTCAACATGTAGAAGTAGAAAGTACAGGTATTTGAGTTCAACATGTGAGAAGTAGAAAGTACAGGTATTTGAGTTCAACATGTAAGAAGTAGAAGTACAGGTATTTGAGTTCAACATGTAAAGTAAGAAAGTACAGGTATTTGAGTTCAACATGTAAGAAGTAGAAAGTACAGGTATTGAGTTCAACATGTAGAAGTAGAAGTACAGGTATTTGAGTTCAACATGTAGAAGTAAAAGTTCAGGTATTTGTGTTCAACATGTAAGAAGTAGAAAGTACAGGTATTTGAGTTCAACATGTGAAGTAGAAAGTACAGGTATTTGAGTTCAACATGTAAGAAGTAGAAAGTACAGGTATTTGTGTTCAACATGTAAGAAGTAGAAAGTACAGGTATTTGGGTTCAACATGTAAGAAGTAGAAAGTACAGGTATTTGGGTTCACATGTGAGAAGTAGAAAGTACAGGTATTTGTGTTCAACATGTGAGAAGTAGAAAGTACAGGTATTTGGGTTCAACATGTAAGAAGTAGAAAGTACAGGTATTTGGGTTCAACATGTGAGAAGTAGAAAGTACAGGTATTTGAGTTCAACATGTAGAAGTAGAAAGTACAGGTATTTGAGTTCAACATGTAGAAGTAGAAAGTACAGGTATTGTGTTCAACATGTAAAAGTAGAAAGTACAGGGATTTGTGTTCAACATGTAAGAAGTAGAAAGTACAGGTATTTGAGTTCAACATTAAAAGGAGAAAGTACAGGTATTTGAGTTCAACATGTGAGAAAGTAGAAAGTACACAGGTATTTGTTGTTCAACATGTACGAAGTAGAAAGTACAGGTATTTGTGTTCAACATGTAAAAAGTAGAAAGTACAGGTATTTGGGTTCAAACATGTAAGAAGTAGAAAGTACAGGTATTTGTGTTCAACATGTAAGAAGTAGAAAGTACAGGTATTGGGTTCAACATGTAAGAAGTAGAAAGTACAGGTTTTGTGTTCAACATGTGAGAAGTAGAAAGTACAGGTATTTGAGTTCAACATGTAAGAAGTAGAAAGTACAGGTATTTGTGTTCACATGTAAAAAGTAGAAAGTACAGGTATTTGTTTTCAACATGTAGAAGTAGAAAGTACAGGTATTGGTTCAACATGTAAGAAGTAGAAAGTACAGGTATTTGTGTTCAAACATGTGAGAAGTAGAAAGTACAGCATGGTATTTGTGTTCAACATGTAAGAAGTAGAAAGTACAGGTATTTGGGTTCAACATGTAAGAAGTAGAAAGTACAGGTATTTGAGTTCAACATGTAAGAAGTAGAAAGTAGCAGGTATTTGGAGTTCAACATGTAGAAGTAGAAAGTACAGGTATTAGTGTTCAACATGTAAGAAATACAAAGTACAGGTATTTGGGTTC